GGGCTCGGCCGGGCCCGGACCCGCCGGGGGAGGCCCGCGGGGAGCGCCTGTCACCCCGGGCAGCGCTGCGGGGCTGGGAGGGCTGCCCCGGCCTCCAGAGAAGGTTTCCCTCTCGCAGACGCTCGTGTGGAGTGGGGGCATACGGGACTCCCCACGCAGGGCCGTGCTCCCAGCACCCGCTGCCAACACCCAGGCACCGGCGGGCACGGTCTGTAACCCGCCCCCGGCCCGGAGCCTCCCGCCCGGGCACCTGTGTGAGCCCGGTCATTACCAGTGCGGGAGCCAGCGCGGCGGGAGCGGTGTCAGCGAAACCAAGGCGCATCCTGCACTTTCTTCCGCAGTTTCCACCCGGAGGACAGGGATGTGACATGGGCGGGAGCCAGAGGTGACAGACCTGCGGGGCTGAGGCGACTCGGCCGACAGCAACCCCGGGCGCCCGCCTGAGCTGCGGTTTGTGCCTGGTTTGGAAAAGCACACACGGCCTTGAACGGCTCCGTTAACTCGTTTAAATGGCCACAATCTCTTCCTGAGGAATTACACCTTAAACAGACTTGGCTGTTTAAGAAACCAGCCCTGGTCCCCTGCAGCGGTGACCTCTGATCCCGTAGCAATGCAAACATCTCTTGTGGTGCCGTGCCCGCGCTGCTGCGGCCGAGCAGCGATAATGACCAATGGTCCAGGTGCGACAAACTACTTCAGCAAGAGAGGCGGAAAAGTCCTCTGGCACATCTGAGGGTCATTTGGTGATTATCTGCCTGTGGCAGTGGCCATGCCTGGCGGGCTCCTCACCGAACCCGGCATCTGTCAGACGGTGATGGGAGCAGGCAGCCAAAAGCTCCTTCCCGACCCACGCGAGCCAAGCGCGGCGGAGCCGGGTGGTTCAGAGCCCCCATCCTCACCTGAGAACACATTGGCCATTTCACCTCCTCCTCCCCCGCAGCCCTGAGGCAGGCAGGTGTAGAAAGCTGCGAGCGCCACAGGGAGTGCTCCCTGCCCCCGCTGTCCCCGGGAAGGAGGCGGGCGAGCAGGCGGGCGGGAGTGCGGCGGGCCCCGCACACCGCGGCCCCAGCCCGGGCTCCCGCCGCCCCCGCCGCCCGCTCACCTGCAGCCCCGCGGCCGCCGCGCTCCGGCCCCGCTGCCGGGAGCTCCCGCTGCGGGAGGAAGGAGAGGCATCCGAGGAGACGAGGGGAACAAAAGGACGAGATCTGAAACAGGAATAAAAGAAGGAAATGTAGCGAGCACTAAAAACAAGAGGAGGAATTTTCCCCGTGGGGAAGAGAGAGGGAAGCGCCACTTACATGAGGTTTTCTTTCCCCCTACAATTTCTGCAGAAATTCTGACAATGCACGTGCTCGTTTTCCCTTTCCCAGCCCACACAAACCTGTTGTTGTTTTACTTTCATTATTTCACTTTATTGTGTTAGAAATGCTGAATCATAAAACAGGGGTTAGTGAAAATGGTATTTATCTTACAGAAATAAGCCCCACATTATTTTAAAGATCCCCACACTACTGCTGTTATTATTATTATTATCATCATCATGCATCTTGGCAGGTTGAAAGGTATCTCAGAACAGTAAGAATTCAGCAGTAATTTAACATCCCACAGCAGTACTTTAAAAGCTTCAAATAGCATTTTGAATTTTAAGTCAGTACTAGTGTAAATAAATGGATGCACTCCCACATGTCTGTTGTTTTTAAACTTGTGGTGATACTAAAATATTTGCCTAACAGCTTTGAGTTGTAGCAGAATTTCAGCTCATACATACACATGCATGTGATATTGAATTAAACCATTTGTCATTCTTTTTCCATAAAAGATACAATTTGGCTCTCAGCAAACCATTTGAAATAGAAATTATGATGATGATACCACATCTCCATTTTATTTTATGATACTGTATTGATTTTCAAATAGACAATACATGTATTTTTGTAATGGTCTAAAAGAAGATATTCTGCCTTTTTATTTTACAGTCCTTATGCTATTACTTTCATCTCAATAAAGGATGGCATTTTTCAGAGATGCTACCACAAATTGCTTCATTTAATAAGTTGCTACACAGAATAATAATGTTACACCAGAGAGCAGCACTTCATAATTTGGAAGAAATAACATTTTTATTTTAAAAATATTCCTGTCTATTTTTAAATTAAAATTATCTTTCTGCTGTTTTCTTTCAAAAGGATAATCTGATTATTAAAAAATTCCTCTTTTTTTCTTGCAAGCATTGGAACTTGGGTGTGCCATAAAGGGGCTAATTAAAATGGGGAACAAATTAGATTAATTTCCACAGATATAATAGTGATATAAAAGTCTTGTTCTCAACAATAGCTCCATAATAGAACTATTTCATTTATGCCTAAGCAGGTTCCTTATTCTGTCTAGCGAGGATTGCCAGCAGTGTCTTAGTGACAAGGTTTTTATTATTTTTTTGACAGTTTGATAGGAAGTCAGTGCTTGCTTCAGGGTTTGCAGTCTCTTCAAACCTGGATTATGAAGGCTACCATAAAAATATGGATAAAATACTACCTCCCCAAAGTGCCATGTGTTATGGCCTGCACCCCAGTGTGGAGATTGCTTTTGTAATACCTGCAGACAACATGTGCTATTAGAGCTGCAATTCAAATACTCAGTCACTAAGCAGTGACCGGGGAAGGAGTCTCCTAAGCTGTGGAAGACAAGGCCAGTTAAAACATAGAGCAGGTTTCAAATTTGTCACAGGACAGTTTTTGCCTATGTCTGTGGGTATATTTGGGTATATTTTTTTTCCTCCTACAGACACCAATTTCAATGGAATTAGATATTTTCACACCTGATTTTTTGCAGGGATTCAATCTGAAATTTGCAGTGAGGGATCTCTAGTATACATGAGACATAAATATATGCATTATTTTGCACCACAGAGAAAAAAGATCTTGCTGGAATGTTACAATATATTAATAGCATTGTGCCATTTAGAATCCTTTGTCAGGTTGCAAAATGCCATTATTTCCAAACTATAAAGCAGAATTTGCTTTTTTTCCTAACAGCATGGATGTGCACAGGTTTTCTTCTCTTCCTCCATTTCACAGGATAAATCCTCGATATCCTTCACACTATGACATGAAGGCACAGAAGTGCTTTCACTGCATGAAGATACACAAAGTTTGTGATTTCCTTTACATTTATGCAGTTTTTGTAATTTCCTTTATATTTATGCAGTTGTGGGTGCAAGACACAGTTGCCTCATGCAACATGGTATCTCTTGAGGATGAAGGCAGAACTAGATGATATAAAGAAAAAATCTTTCAGAAGAAAGGAAGATCAAATATTTTACTCAAACGCCGGCAGAATGATACTCACATAAACTGATTTGTTTTCCAGAATATGAAAGACTGGATCCACTCAGAGATGAGGTAAGGCATTCTCTTCAAGAACTTAGGTCTGAAGATATGTGTACTTTGCTTTACTAATCTTAGAGGATGCATGGCTTTAAATAGCATCAGTGTAAATGCCAGTAACAGGCAGATGTAAGTGACACTGCCATTTCATTTATTTTAAAAGCTTTCATAAGCTGCCTACTCCAAACATATAACTAATCTCCATATATCAAATTCTTTTAATTTGTGTGGAAAAAATAGCATTAAACAGCTCAGGAAGCAAAATGCAAGGTCTCATTATGGTCTGATTCCTGTTTCAGTGCAGACATGGAAGAAAGGTTGGTACATTCTTCTCTTCTGCCATTGCAGAAATTTGCTTCTTCTGTTATAAGTGCAAAGAGATCCGTTTGCTAGTTATGATATATGTTCACTTGTGTTTTAGGCTATCCATAGGAGAGAAGGGAAGCAGCTGTTGGATGCTTCAAGAAACCTGATGCCAAAAATGATCACTACTTTGTTCATATAGTGTTCAAATGAACACTACTTTGTTTCCCTTCTGGAAAAGGCACATGGTTCAGATTGTGTTAAATGATCAACATCTTCCAAGCCATCAGAATGTTGCATGTGACCATCACTGGGAGATGGCCATTAACTGCAGGGGAAGGTGCAGCATCAGCAGCACCCAAGTCCTGGTCTCACTCTGCATCGGGTGGGTGCAGTGAAGTGAGGGGAAAGGATGAGGGTAACTCATCACACATCTTTGGCAATTTTTAGTAATGATATGTCTCTCAGCACCAACAAAGTGCTGAATAGCAACATGTAATGTTCTTAATCATAGAAGGCCAAATTTTCATAATATCTAGCAATCTCAAACAGCAATGTACCTGCTGCACTAACATGTAATATCTGTTCAATCACATAACTGGGCAACCAATAGCTTCTTAGGCATTGCTAGCAATTTACACAGACAATTGTGGTAAATCCATGCAGAGCTGTAGTTAATGCATACCACTCCAAAAGTAGGTACTGAAAATCTAATTCATAGAGCTAGGGTTTTTTTTAAGGGACCTCCTTTTTTGCCACCTAAAATTACCTTCCTTTCGATCTTTAATTCAGAGTAACAAAACATGGGCACTCAAATAGCCATTAGTGCAAGCAAGCCAGCAGAATGGTAGCTTGATTGCACGTACAATTTTCTGTGGGATATCAGAAAGCAAGTTAGTAATTTGGCCCTTTATCATTTTCTCTCTGTACATATGCGTAGGTGGGTGCTTCCACGTGTATGTATATGAATTACTATATCATATAATTACTTAATGCAATTAGAGTGAAAACCCAGAACCTACACTCTTGTTTTTCTGACTGTTTCCCCTTTTTAAAAAATAAATTACTCACCCCAGTGGCAAGACCCAAAATATTCTTTACACTTGACGATTTAGCTACCTTATGTGTTTTTCCTAGGGAAAAAAAAAAGCCCTCTATCATTTATCATGTCATCTTATCACAGTCTCTTTGTGGGACGCAAATAGCACACTAATGTTTTCTTTTGTTAGAGTGAGTTGGCAATCTCCTCAGAGATGGAGCAACTACAGACAGCTCTTTTTTTTTTTTTTCTGATAATCTTCCTGACACTTGGATGAGACTGGCTTATCCATCAACATACAGTTACTCAGTGGTAAGTCGAATGCCAACAGTCATTCAGCATGGATGGCACTTCATGTCCATTATAAAAAAATAGAATTGAAACGAAAGAATTTTTTTGGCAAATGTCTTACCTTCATGTGTAACTCTGAATAGGTTTTTATCATAAACTGATATTACCAGTGTTATGAAAAGCAGAAAGAGCCTTGCATTTACCTTGCCAATTACTGCACACTTTGAAAGATGTCTCTTTGCATTCCCACTTCTTCCTTGCTTGCTTGCTTTTTTCCTCAGGTTGTGTGCACTGATCAAAAACATTTGATAAATGCTGTAGCACTCAGTATCTGCTACACAGAAGACCAAGCTTGGTTTCTAGTGGTTTTTGGGATCAGAATTTGTAACAATAAAAGGGCACTGCTCTGAGCTCAAGGGTGAAATGATCACCAGAAGAAGGAGCAATTAACAAAGTAGCTTCTGTTAAGAACAGAGAAAAGTTTCAGAGCAAGTAGCGGGGCCATGATGCTTCTGTTCATCTTAATTGAACACCTTAAGATG